GGGGAGGGGAAGTTGTGACATGGTGGATGTGGGCCCTTTTGCAGGTGTCGCAGGTGTGCACATGTGTGCAGGGGGCAGAGCTGCTCTAGATGACTCACAAAAGCAGCATCTTCTTTGCTCTGTTGCCGTAGGAAGCGCATAAACTCTTCCTCCTCTATCCGATCTCGCTCTTGCTTTTCCAACTTCAAGAATGCCTGCAGGACACAAATAAAAGTCAACCAGGAAAAGAAAAAAACAACAGAAAAGGCATGAATCTTTGTACCCAACTCTATGGTTTCCTTGTCCTCCAATTGTGCTGATGGATTGACCTGGTTGTTTTCATCTTTTCTTTTTAAAGAAAAAGGGCCCGGTGCATCTGCTCCTTATTGGGATATGCAATCAAAAGTTGTGTTCATACTTTCCATTGTCTGATCATTCCCATTTCAAATTTCAATAAAAATAACAAACTGAAAGGCACGCCGCGGCTCTGCCCAATTTGCAGCGTATGTCCTAAGAAATTTCATTCCTCGTTTTCATGTCCTTTTCAACGTCAATTTCTCATCATAAACATTTTCTAGGCTTCTTGAAGATTTCATCAACCTTGCCCTGCCCACCCTTATACCCAGTACCCAGCCGTTGTCTAAGCACATTGTGGCCCCTCTCCCCCAATTAGTGGGAGGTTTTAGACATTGGATCTGGCAAGGTTGTGTTAGGCGTTAATCTCACAGTGAGTAGAAAATTACACATACAGAGCTTCTGTTGAATGAAGTGCTTCTTCAATTGTACCCGAAAAGGAAAGTATGTTTTCGTCAGAAAATTGCATCAGTGGTCTATCACACTTCTGCCTAATAATTACTGGGAGACTGTTTGCTGCAGAGAGGGGAGAGGAGGCTTCTGTTGTGTAGCATGGCAACCTGTCTGTTTTTTTTTTTTCCTGGGGCGTGATCTGTATTGTATTTCTGTGGGCACTGCGTCGGATTTAGAAATCAATCTCTTGTCTCATTAATTATTTTACAAAATAAAAAGTTTAAAAACGAAATAAAAGAAATGGAAAAATTTAGAACGAGAAGAAGAGGGAACAGCGCCGGCGCTGATCGGTAAGCGCCCAACAGCGCTAACGCCCACGGCTTCCTCACGCGCGAAGCACGATACCGAATTCAAAGTCGGATGAAACACCATCGCCGCAACTCTTCAGGCCAGCCTCGAGAACGCCATAACGGACACGCCCAGCGAGGGATTTCGGCGCGCGCGCGCGTACTTCAACAAGATAACGCGCATAGTGGGGATCCAGGAGTGGGGATAAGTCCATTCGAGCTTCTTAGCGAATGGCCGAAGTTTCATCCTGCGAAGGTTTTCCTCGAGCCAGCTCGCCTCCCAAGCAATGTGAAGTGAGATACAGCCTACCTATCCTGGACTAACATCCTCCATCCCCCCCGAAGCCCCCACTTTACGAGCTGCGTCTCCCCCCGTCTCCCCCTGTCTGGATGCTCTTCCCCTCAACACACCTCACAACTCCAACTCCCTCCCCTCTGCCCTCTCTCGACATCAATCTCCCCCCCGTTTTGTATCTTGTGGTGTGTGTTGAAGCTCGCTCCCCTCCCCCGTGCACAGGCATTCGGGACCAGCGCTCTCCCCTCTATTCTCGCAACAGTCCCTGGTCTTCCCCCTTTCGACGGCGCATTGGTATTTCCTTTCCAGCACCAGCCTTCAGTAGCCTCCTGGCAGCAATTTTCCCCCTCGATAAGCTCCCGTTCCCTTCCACTCTGCAATCTTCGTGACGCTTCGGCCTCTTCCACACTTTCATCCATCCACTTAATCATCAACCTAGCCCCTCTCTCACCCACTCACCTTCCCTTCTACGGGTCTGACCGCCCATTCTCACATCCTCCTAGCTAGTCACCCACTCCTCAGGCCTTGACTTGTCCGACGATTGCTTCGCCACAACATCAAGCCTTTTTGACCTATTGCTTCTCCCCCCAACCCTCCCCCCACCTTGACGTCGTCGGCCTACAGCCCCCACTCCCCTCACGCAACCTCTTTCCACCCCGATCCCATTCATCCAGCCTCCCTTTCTTCCACTCTGCCTCCCATCGGTTCACTCATCCACACAATCTACCATTCATCCATCCATCCTTCAACCCACCTTCCTCTCGTTCTGATCCATGCATCCACAGCCTCTTCCCACCCCGATCCCATCCACCCATCCTCACCCATCCTCCCTTTCTTCCAATCTGCCTTCCATCGGTCCACCCATCCGCACATTCTGCTATCCATCCATCCATCCTTCAAACCCACCTTCCCCTCGTTCTGATCCGTACATCCACAATTGGCCGCAAGTACGCTCCACCAATACGATCCACCTCACAGTCCTCCCCTTCCCCCCCTCCCTCACCCTTAAAACTCGGCGATCTTCCAACCTTCCCGACCTCCATTCTCCCCTTGATATACACCTCGATCCAATCCAACCGTTAAGTCTCCCGTGTGCCTCCCCCTTCCCCCCCCCCCCCCCCCCCCTTTTCGTCCAAGTAGCGCGATCTACTTCCTCGAGTGTGGTTCGACACAAGAGCGACACTCGCCTACATCACTTGTTTCTCCGTCTCAGCAGCCCACCCATCCTCACTTACTTCCGATCAGGCATTCTCCAACCTACCCACTATTGCTTCCATCCACCCGGCCACTCTCCTCGGTCCTTTCCACAGTACTCCCTCCCGGTCCACGTCGAATCCTCCCTTCCGGCCAACCATCTCACATTCTCACTGCCCCCACCTTCTAAACTTGTCGCCCCGATCGCCCTCTTCGATCCCCTTCGTTCCCCCTTCCATGACCACCTTTATGAAGTCCTGATCTGGATCAAGGCATTTGACTGTTTGTCTTCCATTCGTCCAGATTCTTCTACCCATCCGACCCCTCCCCCTCCCCCCGCTCCTTGTCACACCGGGTGTGGTGTATGCAGCTTACTCTCTCCAATATAGGCCACACCCAGATCGTCTTCCCCCACAACAGCCAACACCTTTCCTGGCCTAGCGCCCCCCACATCAACTGGAGCCCCGTTGTAACTGCTGTTGTATTCTTCGCAGTCCCTCCCCTGCTATCTCCGCCACTAATTCGTCCTTGTTTGCAATTGCTACCTGCCCCCTTCTCCCCTACCCCAAACATACCCCTCTTCGCTTACCTGCCTGGTCCTCTTGCTCTATCATACCCGGGTCGCTCTAGCTGCCTCTCACCACTAGAGCGACGATAACTCCTGATACGACTACCTCTCGCCCAACCCGGACTGATCCACGGGAATCCAAATTTTCTGGTACTCATCCCCCTTCCAACCTACCCCCCTCTCCTCCCTCCCCCCCAGGCCGATTATCCCCCTACATTATCTGACCTAACAACACAGAGCAAGGGTGGACGGATCTGACCGTAGAAAGAGAGAAGATGAGGACTGGTTCTCCGTAGTGGAAGAAAATGGCATCCCCAACCCAAAGCGCGGGCACAATAAACCAAAACACTGTGGAGAAGTGCATCATTGTAATCGAAAACGAGGCTCTCAATTTTTTGATAGACAAGACAAAGGTTCAAGGGATACAAACCACGGAGATACAAAGGATGGATGGCAAAGAAGAGGAAATTATTGTTTGGAAGTATCCGGAAGAGAAAGTGGCTGAATTGGATAATCTGCACAAAAGGCATGGCGTAGTTTTTAACTTTGCACGCAATGGAGCAGAACTTCAACCAGCAGAGAAACATAAATGGGTCATAGAAACAATCAAGAAAGAACTGAAACTCAAACAATCGGGAGAGACTTTCACTTTGCAAAACCTGGGTAGAAACAACATCTTGGCATTGTTTATCCGGGAGGATCACGCAAAAGTTGTGGCTGAGATGCAGTCCAGAAACTGCAACGGCTCGGTATGCACGATCACCAAGTGGAAAAAAGTGACCGCACAGAGACAAAACCCAGTGTTTACTGTCTCCTACATACAGACTTTGCTCAAGGAAAACTTCTGGTTCCAGTTCGATAACATCCAACCGGGTTTCCACGGTTTGCTGGTGGACAGGTTAGAAAAACAGTACCCAGCGAGCAGGATCCTCAAATGGATCCTGCCAACACCAGACTCCTGGCCCCGCACTGTGGTTCCATGACTGCAGTGCTGGAAGTCAAGACAGAGAACCCCCCGGTTTTTCCACAGACTTGGAAGCTCCAGATTGAAAGCAGAGTCGTGGGGATCAAAGTATCAACTAAGACCTTCCCGATCTGCTTTAGGTGTAGGGAGCGGGGACACATGGGAGCAGACCCAAACTGTCCCAAGTATCCGAAACAGCCGAAAGAACGCAAACTCCTCCCTACATAATCAGAATTAAAGACATTTGGGACTCATAAAACAAGGATTGGAAAGCAGTGTCACAGATCAGGAAGTCGCTGAGATATTGTCACAACATAGAAACGAACCTGGACCAACTGATCTTCTTAATCCCCCTGGATTGGATACGCATCCTGCGCAAGGGACCGAAGCTGGTGGAAGGGGACTAAGTCAAAATCCCCGGGGACCCAGAGAGCGTAGGTAGCATTGTAGAGGTACGCAAAGACCGAACGCTGATTAACCTGTTCCACAAAGGGGAAGATAATAAGTTAACGAGATACACTCCGGACGTGACAAGATGGTGGCAGAATATTGACTTGTACAGAATCCGGGTGTTACAGGATAAGGAGGACTGGATAGCATATCAGTCGGAGACCTGGATTGCAGACCTCCCCCTTGACCCGGAGGAATGGCAGTGGCCCCCTGCACGCAGAACCCAGGGGGCAAAGAATGTGAAGCTCTACAGTGAAGGCCACTTACCGTCTACTGCGTCCCAAGGTAAATTTGAAAGAAGTGGTGAAGGCCCGCTGGAGGTCTCATTTGAATGTGGGGACTGAGGCCATCCGGCCCATTCGGTGGTTCTCCCTCACAAGGACCAGACCCGCAAAACTAGCATCGTTGCAGTGGCAGATAGAGCACCGCTGCCTCCCCACTAACGATTGGATAATAGATCGCACATACTTGGAACAAAAAGGCCTGACACTCCCGTGGTGGAAGTCTTGTCACACGACGTTCCCCTCCTGCAAGACCCCAGAAACTATAGAACACATATTTATGCAGTGCCCGGGGGCGATCCTTACATGCCGATGGTGGGACAGAATCTGGAGCCTACTAGAGACTAAATCACCCTGGCCATGGGATTG